GAATTATTCATTTATTCTAATTATTCTAATTATTCGTTTATTTGATTTATTTGCCTATTCGAATCATTCGTTTATTTGAATCATTTGTTTTACTTGGATTATTCATTTTATTCATTTATTCAAATCATTCTCTTTATTCGTTTATTCAATGATTTGTTTTATTCGTTTATTCAAATTATATATTTGCTTTATCCATTTATTCAAATTATCCATTTTATATATTTGTTTATTTGTTTATTTGAGTAAAAATTTATTTGAATAAACTTTCAATGTAATAGTAATTCAAATACTCAAATACGATAAATGATTGAGTCATGTGATTTTATAATCCCGTGACACCAAAAAGTATCATTGCTATTTTGAGATTTGAAGATTTGGAAGTGTGACGCAGTATTTGATGGCGCGCACTACATCAGAAAAATTTATCAATAGCCGATTAATATTAACCGTTTAAGTGATAAATTACTATGATTCAATTTATCACAAATAATGATCTGCATTGTGACATGTGCTTGCAATATTACAGTTTATATTTATAACAAAATAATACTTGCTGACATTAACTACGACTATAACATTAACAACAATGATATCGACGAGAATGACACAGATGTCTAAATAATATATAAACAAGAAGGATATCCTTTTACAATAATGACAGCAGCAAGTTCAGATCATTATTGCGTAATATTTACTACATTAAACTCGATGCCAGTATCTAAACGGTCTAGGATTTATGATTTATGACATTGGATTGGCAAATTATCAAAGAAAATGGATAAAGTCTTGTTTTTACTTGATTGAATTGAAAAAATTAAATTCGAAAGGTTGGAAAATAATACTAGAGGAGAGTATGGATGGAAACCTGGTATTTTATCCTGGTCAATGTTTTGGCTTAACTCGAGAACCTATGCAACCACCAGGATTTTGTAACGATTCAACCTCATTTTGAACTATTCTTTTCACCCAAATCATCTAGTTAGATACCAAAATGGGCACATCAAGATGTTGTTTTGATTTTTAATGATGACGTAGAAAAACATTCAAGATATATATACAAAATTATAATGAAACAGAATAACATTTGATTCAAATAAATTAAGATCACTAATGAATAATTGGATACAGCATTCCTAAATAAAACAATGCATAGCACCAGGAGGTAGTGACAGAACAAATAATCGACCATTTAACATACCTTGCAGCAAGTGAGAAAAGGTTTTGTATGAATAGAATAAAATTTTTGGATTAGGACTCATATGGATAGTATGCAAGAAAATATTTATCTCTATGAAAACTAACATTACCTGGTTCCCACCTATATAATATCATATAATATTGTTTAGAAGAGTGGAAATAATCACAAAATTGTTTTTACTTAATTATATTTACCAGCAAAAAAACCTTTGGAGTTGCTATATGAATATAATGCGGACGGTTCATAAATACTACTTGAAACTTCTGTGCCCATGCCAATAGGCCCAGCAGTTACTATAAAAAAAACAATATTTATATTTTATATTAATATTAAATAATAATAGATATATACTAATAATCGTATGTTATATATATTTACCAGATAAATTTCCTCCTAATGTAACATTTTCACCACGACAAAAAGCTTTAACGGCTTCATCAGTATTGAGAACAATTACAAAATTAGTAAAATCGGCACCAACTTGTGCACCGAATCCAACGCCTGCAACATTTATACAAGATGGTGGAGACCAGGTTCCTTTTTCAGTCCTATAATTGATTTTTTAATCTTTTAATTTTTTGTTATGGAAGAAGCAAAATATGATTTTATCTATATACTCTCTTATTTCTTACCTTGCAATTACTATACCAGATCCGGCACGGCCGGACCAAAAAAGTCCAGCTTTCAACACAGTGAAAATAGCTAAACCTTTTGCTTTAACAATAACATCTTTTGGAATTACATTTTCTAAACCACCTTCAGATTTATCTGGATCTTACAAGAAAGTTGTTAGTTTATACAATTACCAATAATGATGAATGATATTATACGACATGATTGATATATTTACCAGTAAAGGAAGACAAAATATTAGCAGCTTTATTGACCTCACTTACGAAATCAGAAGGTAACGGAGAACTGATGTTATTTTTTGCAGCTACTTTTTGGATTTCTTCAGAAACTCCATTTGCCACTCTACCGATTTCTCGGGTACTGTATTCATATGTTTCACTTGCTTTTGTAGTACTATATCCAACGACTTTCTCGATGTAATCATGCATTTTTATATATGAGTGATAAAAAAATTATTATAAAATTATTTATTTTTTTAATTATCTTTTATTATTTTTTTAATTTTTGTAAGTTGAAAATTTAAACCTTGGAATTACAAGCTTATTTATATTAAATCATCATCATATACGTAGGTGTGTATATTTAATATGAATTGATCGATTGATTGGTTAAATATAATTGAGATGATGGCCCTTTTCATACAATTTTCAACATTTACAATACATATAGCACGTGAGACAAAAAATGTTCTGATTTTTTTATTAATTATATATTTCTAATTTTTCACATTTAATTTTTCTTTTTATTCATATGCTTTTATGCACATTGCGTGAAATTTTTTAATTCATTATTTTTCAGCTGTCAAAAATAACATTTATGACGATCCTTTTTAATTTCAAAAGAAAATCAGATGAAAATCATTTAAATGCTGGGTATCGCACATCCCACACACGGAATTTTATACGCCATGTTAACCAAATTTAGTAAATATTTGGAACACACATCCTGCACACGGAATTTTATTACTACTACTACCTTAATGCGCTGTTGGCTGGATACTTGTTTTTTAATTTAAGAAGATTAATTAATGAACGTTTGATCACCCAAAACTTTCGTCATATTCACAATTCATAAATCAAAAAAAAGAATATATCCCGTTTTTGAGATCTTGTTGACACGCGCGAAAATTTTATAGTCGGTCTGTATGGTGCAGGATTTTTTATATGCACAATGGGTTTTATTTTTTTATTGTAACCGGCAATTATGTTTTAGTAATTAGTAGCGGTGTTACCTTCCCTTTTTTTGATTATGAAATATAGTCACAAGATATGTGACTATATTAATGTTGTATGTGGGTGTGAAATTAAAATTAGCTAAAGCCAATATCCTAATTCATTCTCGTATACGTGAATTTCAACTATATTTCACATACAACAACAGTCACATCTTTTATCTGAGGGGTTGTTGAATTTCACTAATTCCTCAAATCATAATCTTATTATTATAATAAAAAAAAAAACGTGCTTTGTGACATTATTTTTTTTATATACAACAATACCGATTTTTTTTATCATCAACACCTACTGATACACAGACCTTTTTTTTCTAAAAACATCAATCGTTAAAGGACAATTTGATCCAACTTTTAACACT